CCTCAATGTCGTCATTAAAGCCAAGTAACCCCTCCTCCCACATTCCCACATACCCCTCTGTAAACCCATGTTACCGCTCCCCAGACATTCCCGCACACCCCCCCAGACATGTTACCCCTCCCCAGATATTCCCGCATGGTTACCTCAATGAAGACAGTACAACAAACCGCAATACACAAACACAAAAGCCATGGTACGAAAAAAATTGAACAATGAAAATATGAAGTAACCAAAGTAAGTAAAAGAAGTGGAAGCGTGGTAAAATACATGAAATCTCAGTGGAAGCACGGAGTCACACAGTAGTGTCAATATGAAAAAAAATAAAAAAGTAAACGAGAGGAAATATTATAAAAGAAGAATAACTAAAAAAAAAAAMCAAAAAAGCAAGAAGAAGAACGAAACCTGTGAAACTCTAAATGAAGAAAGATACACACAAACATCATCGGCGCGAAATCGAAGTCCTAATCTATGGCGCATCGCACTGCCCGTCGTTTGTGTCATCATCGTCGATGATGCGCTCTCGCCGCCTTTGTGGTACCTTCGCCGCCGTCTCCTCTCCCTCTCCTGGATGTTGTGACGCAGACACGACATGACTGCCAACTGCTCTGGCTGCCACCCTCTTTGCCTCCTGGACCTCCGCCTCTCTCTCAACACCCGCTCCAGCAGAACGTCCCAAAACATCAGTCAAAGTCGTGTACGTCTTCCTACCCCTAGGAATGGGCACCCCATCCGTCGCGGAATCCTCCGTGCGGCCCCCAGCAGCTCGACGACTGCTCGGTCCTGTACCTGTCTGACGTCGCGGCTCCTCATTCAGTATCCTGTGTACAGTAGAAATACAACCTCCACGACTCGTCTGCAAAGTGACAGGATCAGGGTCATCCTCCAGCGATGCTGGGGGTGGTCGGACACCTGGCAAAGCATGTGTTGAAGATCGCCCTTTCGGACGTCGATGACCATCTCGCTGTGCCGCACCTGCTGTGGGCGGTCGTGATGGCGGTGCAACCATCGTGCTGCCCCGTCGATCTGCAGCACACGACGACCCAGCACCAGGATGCTCCAACCTATCTCCCTTCCGTACCCAGCCTGCTGCGTCCGCAAACATCTCTGTCAACCTCCCCTCACGATCCCTCCTCTCACCCGTGACCCCAGGCATAACATCCTTGAGTTTGCGGGTGACCCTGCTGATGCCGCTCCACGATACAGACTTCCCCTTCACCTTTGATGAAGGTGATGGAGAACCCTGCACCTGCCCGCGCCCTCCTGCCGTCGCCGGCGCAGCAGAACCCTCTCCCCAACCAACACTCCCGCCCGAAAGGCCCGACCGTCCGCCGACAACTTCGGGACCACCTCCCCCGCCCACAACACTGCCACCAGACTCACCTCCCCGTCCACTCACCGCCCCTGCACATGCCGGTCGTGTCCCTGCAGCAACTGGCCCTGCTCCCCATGATACCCCTCCCGGCTTGATAACCCTCTGACCTGTCAACTGCTCGAACAAGTCGGCCATCTCCATAGTCTTCCCAATACCCCCGAGGGTGCTGGCGGACTAACAGGCACGAAAGAAGATGGAGGCATAGCCTTCCAAAGCCTCTTCGATATATGCATGTTTCTGCCCATCACTGGATCAATCCCAGCAGTTTGGCGCTCGAGTGGGGACATGCTGGGCACGTGTGCCTCTACAGGGTGTGCAACAACGTCACCGGGGTCCACTTGTCGCTCCTCCTCGCTGCGATGTGCATCCATAGCATCCACCGCGACAAGACCATCCTGAGTGTGATCTGCGACCACATCCACCATTGCGGCAACGACAACACCGACAAGTGCTCTATCCACCTGCCCCTCCACCTCCGTGCGATCGCACCCAAGCAACCTCCCTGCGTCTGTCGTGGCCGCACCGTCGCCCCCGTCCGCCTCATCAGTACTGGGTAGTAGCGTGTCGCTGGCCCCACGTAAACCACGCAACCCTACCCTCGCGTCCTCCTGGTGGTCGTCCGCACGATCCACCACGTATCCCTCTGTGCAGAGTCCTCCACCATCTGCAACATCTGCAGGACCATCGTGTCTACACTCTGCTGCCAGTCTGGCGGCAGTGACCTCCTCTACACTACACCCCATCTCCCTCGCCCTGGTCGTGTCCTGCTCCAATGCAAGCTGCTGTGTCGTGGCACACCCCGACACCATCCGTGCCAAACGCTCCTCCTCAAGCACGTCCTCGGGGTCCATATGTAGCCTCCTGGCAACACGACGGACGTCGTCACCAGTCCTGCCCTCCTGTATCTCGCCTGGCGCTCTGGCAGCCTCTGTCAACAAACCTGAACTAGCACCACAAAAAACCGACCCTATGAGGTGTGCGACTTCGCTCACCGGTGTCTGAACACGCACCCCGTCGCGCCGAGCATCCGAAGTGGGTGGACGTCCAAGGTCGAAGCCGTCACTGAAAATGCCTGAGGGAATCGATCCCTGTGGTACCTCCAAACCAAATCCATGTCCGCCACTACCGCCCCCGCCCACTGCACTGGGGCCAGGAGTAACAAGGAAGGCGCCACCCGCTCCGTCCTCAATCGGCCCACTGTCGTCACCGCCGTCGAATCCATGCTCGTCCCCATGTCCTCTGTCCTGGTCGGGTCCCTCTCTCTCGACGTCGGAGTCCTCGTCATCGGCGGCATCTCCGTCGTCAGACCTGTCACCTCCCTCGTCCTCGGTCGACGATCGCACAACCTGTGTCTGCTTGCGCCATCTATCTGTCGCACTCCTAGTCAAGGGAGGGGTCATGCGATCAACATCACAATGGCTCTGCCGATCCCGCGAACGCATATCACCGGCAGCCTCATGATCACTCTCCTCGTCGGGCTCGTCACCAACATCAGGTGTGTCACTGCCTCTCTGCTCCAAGTCCTCCGGGTTCGTCCACGGCTCTGCCTCCATCTCGTTTGCAGCATGCGGGTCCGTGGGTGGATCGTACTCGATCTCCTCGTTGTACAGCTCGATATGAGCTGCACGACGACCAAACACAGTCTGAACCGCAAGGGGGTGGCGAACCGTCGAGGCACACTGCATCCTGCGCGCCTGGCGCGCGATCTCCTCGTCCGTCAATGACCCCGGCGGCAGAATACCTGATCTGCGCGGCTCCGGGACGTCGTCCAACCCCTCCTCAACATCACCCCATGGCAGAACAAGTCCCCTCCTCCTCTGTCTACACGCCAGGAGCTTTTTGTTCGCGCACATCTCCACCATTTCAGTCAGCTTCGTGAAGTCCAACCCGTTGCGGCGTTTTTCGTGGATACGCTCGTGCAACGCCCAGTTCCTCTCCGCAGGAGAGGCGCAGACCCACGTGTACATCAAACGTGTGGCGATGGCACAAAGCTCAAGGGCACAGCTGCCGTGCAAAACCCACCAATCAGCAATGGCCTGTGTCTCATCCGGCCCCTCGCACGTGTCCTCGTCTCCAGTGCCTGCATCCCCACCCCAATCATACCTCGGCCCGCGCGCGTGGAAGTCGTACAACTGCTGACGGACCAACCTGTACCTGTCTCCCTGCCGGTCGAAGCCCGTCTGCGTGTAGATGTACTCAAGTGTCATCTCCGCCACCTTCTTCTGCTGATCGCTGCGCCTCGGAGACTGGAAGTAAACGAAGTTCCGCCTCTTGGGATTGAGAAGATGGGCGGCAGCATGGGCGGGCTCGAGCAGATGGCATGCACGAGCCTAACAATCCTGCAGCATGCCAACCAGGTGAGGTCTCGTCGACTCCAACTTCCGAATCTCCTCGGCCAACTAGGTGACCCACCGGAAGATGCAAGAGATCACCAAACCCCCCTGGTCCAACATCCTCAACAACTGCACAACCAGGGTGAAGACGTCGATGAGATCATCCATCTCCTCCCAAAACAGCCCGCATCGCACCTGTGTGCGCACCCACCCGGCCTGCCCGAGCAGCCTCCTCTCCCATGGAAGTCGCGCCCAATCCCCCTCCAACAGCATCGTCTCAAGTGCTCCGCCCGCGGCGCTGCCACCCAAACGGTCCGCCCGTGCATCGCGATCGGCCCTCGCGCTGTAACTCCTGAACAACGCGAGAGCCGATCCGTAACATCTATGAATCGGACAACCGCCCTCGCCCTGGTCAACAAGTCGATGGCCCATGTCTTATCCTTGACCATGTCTGACAACATCAAGTTGTAGCAATGGACAGAACAAGGGAGCCAAGGGATGCGACGGATATCTGGATCGGTATCGTTGCAAAGCGCTCGACCGACGGCGACATAAACTGCAGAGTCCGTGCAGATGGCGTTGATGTTCTTCACGCTGAACTTCTCGAACACCTTCTTCCAGCACTGCAAGACGACGTTTGTCGTCTCTGCGTCAACCCCTTCCCTGCGCACCGTCGTGAAAAGGAAGGCGCCCGACTGTCCTGCTGCCAGGAAGTTCACGATGGGCTCAGAGTTCAGGGACTTCCTCCCATCCGTGATGATGGTAGCCCCTGTGTGCTGCATCTGCTCGCGTATGTCACGTAGCTTATCAGCTCTGTACGCACGCTCCTCCTGTATGCCACTGCCTGCTATGCGCTTGAACTGGGGCAAAGTAGGCTTCATGCCCCGGGGCATGTTTTGCAAATGTCTCGTGAGGGCCCTGTACTCGAGCATCCTCGCCCTCTCAAATGGGACACCACCAATATACCACCATTGCAGGAAGAGATGGTCGAAGGTGGTCTGCCACTCTGGGTCGTACATCTCATCTTGTCTGACCTGCTTAAAACGTTTCGGGTCCGGCACGCATGCCGCAGGAGCGGTGTCCGCCCTCCTCTTCCCACGGCCATCCATAGGCGCACGAGTCCTTGTCTGATGAGCAGTGCGTCGTGCCTTCAATGATCCCCCCCTAAGGGACGCTCCTAACTCCTGAACATCGTCCTCACCAGTGTCCTTTGTCTGTCCCTCGCCCTCACCCTCCGCCCCTGTGTCCATCTCATCGTCCTCGCCGCCACACTGTCCTCCCTCGTTGTCTGCCCCCTCCCTGTCCAAAACATCCTGCACCTCGTCATCCTCCAGCACTCCAACTCCCACCTCTCTGTTATTCCGGATGCCACGATACTCCATGTAATCCCGCACCTGTCTCTCTCGCCGCTGGTCAAAAGGGTACTGTGTGGTATTCCAAATGTCGACGAGGACCTCTGGTGTCACCTTGGGGCACCTACCCTTCGTGAAGTGCTCAGCACCCCGCGCCTGACTGCCCTGGAAAGGTGGTTTGTCGCAGAAGCGGCACTTCATCTTGAAGTTGCCCTTGCAACTCTCTAGCGTCTGACCCTTCGTCAAGTACTTGAATATGCAGCACCAGCGAATAGCCTCGCGCTGGTCCTCGTCCTTGACCGGCACGAAGGCCTCCTTGACGCCCTCCCCTTCCCCCTTTTTCTTTTTCCCTGTCATACCCCCGGAAGCGTGTCCTGATGGGCCGCCGGTTGCCCGGAGAGCGCCGCCCCAGCGTTCACGCCCGCCGTTCACAATTCCGTTCACCCGCGTGAACGGCTGTGAACGGCCTGACGATTTCGTTCACGCGCATGAACGGGCGTGAACGGGGGTGTGACCGGCACTCTCTCTCTCTCTCTCTCTCTCTCTCTCTCTCTCTCTCTCTCTCTCTCTCTCTCTCTCTCTCTCTCTCTC